GAGACATAACTTCTGAGTAAATGGGAAGGAGGAACAACCTCCACGAAGACGAAGAGGTTGTCATAAAGGTATACGTATTGTCGAGAGAGAGAGCAAGCGTAAGGAAGCTGTGGAGAGATATAAGTTCTGAGTAAATGGAAGGAGAAACAAGCTCCACGAGGACAAAGACGTTGTCGTTAAAAGTATACGTATTATCGAGAGCAGCAAACGTAAGGAAGTTGTGGAGAGCCTTATATCCGAGTAAATGAAATGAGAAACACAAAGACAAAGAGGTGTCGTAAAAGGATACGTATGGTCCAGCGTAGCTAAAATAAGGAAGCTGTGGAGAGCCATATGTTCTGAGTAAATGGAATGAGATATATTTTCCACAAAGGCAAAGAGGCTTCGTAAAAACATACGTATTGTCGAGAGCAGCAAACGTAAGGAAGCTGTGGAGAGACATATTCTGTTTAAATGGAAGGTGGAACAAGCTCCATGAAGACAAAGACGTTGTCGTTAAAGGTATACGTATTGTCGAGAGCAGCAAACATAAAAAAGCTGTGGAGAGCCATATATCCTGAGTAAATGGAATGAGATAAACGTTCCACGAAGACGAAGAGTGGTGGTAAAGGCATACGTATTGTCGGGAGCAGCAAACGAATGGCCCTAGTTAAACATCTTGCATCCTTGGCCCCTTTGGCTGCGTGTGTGTAGGGATGGGCTCTTACCCGCTTCCAGGGATGCAATCGGCGCATTCTAATCCCAGCCGACAGGATAAACGTGAATGAAATTCTTTAAACAATAGTTATATTCAGGATCTGTAAACCTGTTAAACCATAAATGAGTAAAGAGTCATTTGAGATGCGGACATTGAAAAGAGGAGAATTGTGAAAATGGATATCGATTTAGGATTTTGGATAGCCACGTCACGGTTGAATAGGCAAGCAATGGGTTTACGTTGTCCCTAGACGCTAGCAAAATTGACTCTTCATCACTAGCTGTGAGGAGAAGCCAACTGAAGAGTCACCGTCGTTAGCAAACATAAAGATTAATAAAGACACCATCAAATATTCATCACATGACAAACAATCTTTGATATTGCTACACGCCTAGGCAATCGGCCGTACTATCTTGGCAGGTGACACGGATCAAAACGTCACAGTATTCAAATTACGGGAGGGGGCGTGAATGAATTAAGACTGGACTAGTTTAAACATAAATTCTGAGTAAACGGATGGAGGA